AAACTCGAGCGCCCTCGAAAAGGTGACTATTCTTCTTCAGGAAAAAAAAAAAGAAGAATAGTCAACTATTCGAAAGCGCTCGAGTTTTGATTCTTATTTTAAGTTTATTACAGTTATTATGTGATCCTTTGTACCTTTATCAAGAATACTCATTATTATGAGACTGAGGCAGTAGAAGTTTTTTATTGGAAGGTAATAGTATTTCCCTTGTTAAAAAAAATTCTTTTATTATTATTTTCTTGGCTCAGATTAACTGGAGGCCTCTCTCATTCCAGACAAATTCTATACCGAGTTAAAGTGTTAGTAACCTACAAGTGCTTACTGCACTTTTTAACAGCTCAAACTACTACATTTTCCCCTCAAAGCCAATTTTTGGGCCTTATCTGTAGGTCCTGAGATGGTCCCACGTTATGTGTCAATTTCCTTGTTGTAATAAATTTGCTTTTTGGCTTGAGTTGGAATCGAGCCCAAAATCTCTTGAACACCAGGTGAGCGTTCTATCGATTGAGCTAATAGGTTATCTTTCTAGTAAAAAAATTTTCGTACTTAAAGTACCACACATGAAATTTTAAAAGTGAAAGTTAAGATCTCTTTATGCTGCAATATTCAGTGATGTGCTAAGATATAACATAAAACAATAATATGAACTGTGTATGATTTGTTTCAATTTCTTATGTTATACAAGCTAATGTACGCGTCCTTTGTCTGGGTTATAAACTTACAAAGATGTAGGGGTGGATGCAATGATAAACAAAACAAAAATCCTAACCTTCACACAATTTATTTAGAACATAATATATTATTACAGTATTCATTATTATCTTACCAAAAGTTTTGTGTAAGCTTTGAGAACTCATTATGTATATACTTTAAACATGGTATACACTGTGCAGTGGTCAGGATGACACTGTAAAAGAAGTATTGGCCAAAGTAGTGGAGGTAGGGCTGCTTTCTGTTATATGCTTTAAACACTCGGCTCTTAATGTCCTTCCACAGTGTATCATATGATTTATCAAATGACGGTCATTGGCCACAGAAGTGTATTACGGGCTGAAGTTGAATGGTCACGTGTCAAAGTAAGAAGTGGGTATAACTCAAGAAACGGCTCTTCATATCAACCTTATGGTGGCTGTGGAGTAGAACCTTCAGCTGAGTTTATGTAGTATTCCAATAATGGCATCCATTTTTTCATTGCAGTCCCTCATATCAACCTTATGGTGGCTGTGGAGTAGAAACTTCAGCTGAGTTTATGTAGTATTCCAGTAGTGGCATCCATTTTTTCATTGCAATCCCTCATAAAAAGTGCTTTGTGTGCCCTTCTCCCCGCACTGTGTATATGTTATTTTACAGAAAATTTAAGTTTTTTTTTTTATTTTGGTGTAAGGACATGTCGCCATCTATGAATGTATTAACGTTAACTTACGTTGAAGGTAACAAATGCTCAATAACAGCAATAATTGGGTGGATGGGGTTGTGATCCAGCCTTTAACATGCCTCTTGTTCCAAATTATCATTGCAAAAGGGTGGTTGAAAGTGGCCCAGCGACCTAGGAATAGTTAGATAACGGACAAACAGACAGACACACAGATTTTTGTGTTTTATATATATATATATATTTAATAGTTTATTTTTGCTTTTGGTGTAGGGATGTGACACCATTAATGAAAGTAGCTAACGTACCTCAAATATAATTAACGCTCAATAACAGTAATAATTGGGATGGGGGAGGTTATGAACCTCCATCAACATGCCCTTTGTTCCAAACTATCATCCCACAAAATTTCGTTGAGATTGGCCCAGCGTCCTAGGAGAAAGCTAGATAAAGGACAAACAGACTCATACACAAAATTTTGTGTCTTATATAGAGAGATTTTAATTAGTGTCTGTATGCTTCAAGTGTAGCGAAAGAAAAGTCTGACCACAATTGTGGATTCAGAAATCATGTGAATGCAGTTAAAAATGTATTATGTTGTCATCAAGCCAACACTTAGCATACTAACTCTGGCTGAAGGTTAAATTAACTATACATTCACAAAGATAAACAGTGAATGAACTGCTCTGAGTGCAGAAGTATAATTTCCACCGCTACAAATAGTAATAACTTAGTATTGCTCGCTGGTATAGCTGTTTAGGACGGTTTTTCTGTAAGAAGCACTAGTTCACAACGTTTCATTATATCTGTTTTTAGTATGTAACTGATATAGTATCAGTAGTCCAGCTTACACTATAAATACTATAAATAAATACTTAACAATAAATACCAGTAGCCTATTGACAACACTGTTAAGCCTAACGTTAGAGAATCAAATATATTACAGCATTTTATCACTTCTTTATCTTCACATTAAAGTAATTAACTTTATCTTTAATTATATATAAGTGACAAATAACTAGTCTTTACTTTAGTTTAATTTACATTTATGTAATAATATAATGTACTTAGCCTGATTTTTAACCTACCTATAAGCTGAATTTAAAGTAATGGATCTAAATCAAGTATCCAAGTTTATCCTTAAAACGTGAAGAGATAATCAACTAGTCTCTAGATTGTATCTGCTTAATAAACATACATATTTAACCTGTTAAATGATTTACCAATAAGTTGAATTATAGCTAAGCCTAAAGTATCATTACATGCCCTAAGCCTAATCTAACGTTGTAGTACAGGTTATCCTACTAAGATCTAATTTAAAGCTGTAATTCTACTATTTTTATTTACCACCTTTCTTAAATCTAGTTTGTTTGTTTTTGTTATTTAACCCAAACTACTTCAAATGATAATATTGTTGTTTAAAAAAGGCTGGGATAGAATAGTTTGGTAATGTCGTTCGTTGCTTAAGATATTGTGTGTTCACGTATAGCTTTTGTACTACAAGACCTTTATTGTAAACTACTATTTTGTTTGAATATATGTTGCGGATTCAATGTTTGTATATGCATAGCTTCACATTGGTTTTGTTTAATGAAATTAATTTGATTTGTATTGTGATTTTAATTGCTGTGATTATCATTATTTTAAATTTATTATTATTATTATTATTGATTTTTATTAGTATAAACGTTGATATTGATTTATTAAACCTGAAGAGATGTCTTGTGAGTAAGATCTTGTTGTTGTGCAGTGAAAGTGATTTTAAGTTATTTTATGGAATGTGGTGTTTTATTATGTTTTGTTTCGGCTTTTGTGTTTTCTTTTGCCTTTTTTGGTGCCTGTTAGTACGTATGGTACTACTATGGAATTTGCCTGTACTGTTCTACCATTATTTTTTAGAGCCACGAGCCATAAGAATAGTGAAGTTTTCGATTGTGCTGTCCAACTAAAATTTCAATTCATATGAATATCATTGGCGTGTACTTTAACATTTGGACTTGTTTTTAACTTTAATTTTAAGGTCGACGTGGATCAGGCTAGAGATAAATAAGGGAGTGTTTGTCAAATATACTTCCAAAACTTTATCATTACGTAATTATTGAATTTATATATATACACATTTTATTATCTTTCAGTTCTATTTTCATTCATGGGAGTATGTGCAGCTGTGATAAAAATGTGAGGATCTTTCTCAGAGCCGAGATTTTATTTCAATTGTAACTGTAACATATACATATATTACTCAATATATCCCACACCTCGCCCATCAACTGTCTAGATTCTGTGTTCTGCTTGTTTCGTCTAATAAAGATTACACAATATAAGTAGTCCTAGTAGTTACGCTGGATTCCTGGTGCCTCATTCTTATAATGTGCGTTTACCCTTAGAATGTAGCAATGCGTAAAATGTAAATATATATTGAATATTTCCATATGTAGAACTGGTAAGTTGCTATTTAAATGTAAATGTTGCATATATTTTCAAATAGAAGGGAATCTTTCACTTCTCTGCTCCTTTTGACAGAATAACCAGAGGCGAACACTGTTTGTATCATTCTCAGCTTTTACTTGATTTGTGTACAGCCTGTAAATAAAGTTTTCAACTGCACTTGAATTCTGTGGCTTGCTGACGTAAACCTCAGAATGGAAACATCTGTGTGACTAATACTTCTGTACCGGATTTAAGAATAAATACATGTTGTTTAATAGTAGCTGACTCCAGTTATTTGCATTAAGATCTTTGTAGTTCAATAATAGGAATTGTTTATTGACATTATAGCTTATTTTGACTTGTGGTTTTGCCAGTTTTCACTGAATTCATACAAACCTTGATATATTACTAAGGTAATATTTACTACCTTGGTTTGTCCAAAAAAGGTTCAAAATACCATAAAAACCAGTCAGACTTTTGTTTGTAGTGGGTGTTGAGCGAAATCTTATTTGTAGGCCTATAGAAATAATTGCTCCTGGTCTAAATTTTTGTCTGTTTTTTTCTGAATGATAACATACAGATCATAATACATCAAAATCCAGTGACTCAAACTTCACTGAACAAAACTTCTCAATCATCCAAGTCATAAAAAGCAGTCTATTCCCGTGACTTAGATTTTGTGATAACTTTAACTTTTGATGAAATAAGAAATTACAAAGTTTAAAAACTACAGCAATAAAGACAAAACGTTATTTCGACTGTGTTATAGAACTATTTAACTGAGCAAAACACAGAACCCAAGAGTGGTTCTTAAACGTTCCACCTCGAAGTCTAAAAGTTCATGTAAAAGATCCTTAATCATCCTTCTTTTTCTTACCAAGTATCATACAAATGCACTTAGCTTTCACTCTGATCCTAGCTTCAGTAATGCCTTTGTGGAAAATTGTATCAACACATACATTGCTTTCAACAGAGCGAAAATAATCTAAAGTTATTAACAAACCAGAAGACATTGAAAGTGCCACAAGTCAGCAACTTAAAAAAAAATATTCAGTTTTTTCCCCTCTTTGTGAAAAGTAATGTATCTGATTTGTAATATCTTACTTATTTGTTGTTTTTTTTCAGGACTTACATACAGTAGATCTGAGGGAGTTTCAACGAGGAAGAACCAATATCACGGCTTTTCGTTTAGTTAGTTCTGACCACGAGAAAGAAAGACAAGGGTGGGAGTGGGCTTATGAAGGTGGTCAATATAAGAAGGTTTCTCAACAGAAAAAAACACTTAAGGTTTGTTTCGTATTCTCATAACCGAATATTATAAGTGTTTGTTTAGTATAAAGAGCTAACTGCTCGAGAGTATCTTAAACGAGATACAAATATCATTATAGGAGTTTCAGATATATGTCAAGGTTTCGTGATTTTTAAATGAAATGGAAAAACACTTGAATATCGATGTAACGTACTAGACTCTAAATATAGACCCAACATTTAAACTTGAATCACACAATAAAGAGTTGTTAAATAAAAATAAACTCCAGAATATCCCTTAAGTCCCATGCATACTCAGAGGTCAATCTATTCTTTATAGTTTTTCCCAAAGGCCACAAACCTTTAAGACCCATACTCTTTACAAGTAGTTTAACCACTGAGAAACTGTGACGGAGTTTTGAAAAAATCCCATATCTTTTTTTTTTACCTGCAAGAATATATTATAAACACAACAACACGTATCATTCATGAGGATGACAAACTGTACACTAAATAATTAAGCAAAATACTGTAAAGGTTTATTAAGTGCTTTAATGTTATAAGGCATACATTATTAAAATGTTATTGATCAATTGTTAGACAATTGCATCTCAGGTAAAATTAGCTATCGTTTATATGAAATATAAGTATTTTAATTAAACATGTTAATCATTTATACTTGTTGTAGAAACTATAGTAAGAAATGACAAAAATGCTTTGTAATACTTAATTAAATAACTCATGTTACTTCTCTTCTGTATCAAAAAATATTCACTCTTAAAACTAACGATCTGTAGGCTTTATTTTCCACGTTGAAAGAATGACGTGTTTTCCAAATACATTGGAACTCATCTTTATTTTTCTCTCACCTGTGTTTTAGCTCTGATCTTTTTTCGGGATCACGTCAACAAAAACTCAAAACTAAACATTTCAAAAGAAGAACAACAAACAAAGCTCGAGGTATTTCTACATGTGAAAAATATATTGCTGTGGAACAATATAGTAATAATACTTATAAAATAGAGTCACCACGTAGAAGCCCACTTAAAACTTATTAATAACACTTCGGACGATTGAAGCCACCTAACTGATACATCCAAATAAAATACAATATAGATTAATTCTGCATCTATTCATATTCTGGAGTGGGTGGTAGGGGTTGTAGCCATATGTTCATTCTTTTTTTGTTTGTTTGTTTATTTTGCCTCACTTTCAACATCTTAGAAATATATGTACTTAATATATATATTGTACATTAGACTTAAGTTTTGAGTACCAGATAATTAGATTATATTTATAAGGATAATGTTCGATATAATAACATTCAGACATGTACTTTTCCCGAATTCATTAAACTGCAGAAAAAAAAATGGAAGGATATAATATTCACCTCCCACAACAATTATTTCATCCCTAAGACAGCAGTTGCACCATATTTCTGAATAATTTATAATTGGTATGATTACCCACTTCCGACTCAAAGTTGTCGTTTGGAAATGTGTCTTTCGCTGAAATGGCATTGTTAACTTTCTTACATGTATAAGCAAAATATTTTTAGTTCCGAAATTGATTTAAAACTTGTATCTGCTTCACACAGAAGGGTTGAAACATATTCACTCATTTTACTGATAATAATTTCCAAATCGTATCTAGTATTTGTGTAATTAAACCATTAATACAAATATATATAAGAAGGGGTTAATCGTAGATCCATGGCTTGTTCCTAATTCACATTTGGAAAAACTCTGTTGATGCTATTCGAGTTCTTACATACAATGTCTGTTTAGTGTACATGCTAACTAACACATTAAAAACGTTTTTCTTTTATTCTGCTTTCAGTAAGTTTATTCCATAATATCAAACCGTATCAAATATTTTGCTAAAATCCATAAACCCACAGTGGGCTTTCCCCTTCTTCGTAGATAAATATTTTCTTTGTGGCAACATGAAGTGAAACCACGATCAGTTATTGAATACCCTTCAATGTATCCAGTTTACTCGTCGCCTAGTTTCCCAACTAAATCTGCTCAGTTATTTAGCTTCGAATTTTTGATCTTTGTAAAATGTTTCCGATCAATTTTAGAAGTGATATTCTTCTATAGTTATCGCCGGACGTTCACGTCATCTGTTTTGAATAGCGGATATATCAACGCTTCTCTGCATTGTTCAGGAAAGTGGCCTTCATTCAAAATCGAATTGAAAATTTTATGGAGCTCTGGGCTTATAGTATCAATATTCATTTTATATATATTCTTGGTTATACCAACAATACCAGGTATCTTACTTTTTAGCAAACATTTTGTAACACATCGATCTTCTATTGTAAATGGATTATTCAAAATCTTGTTAATCTAAAATAGGTTTTTGTGCTGGTTTCTCAACTACATTCCCCAACCTCCAATATTTCTTCGCTATTCTTTATCATTGTCAACCCATAATAACTTCCGAAAGTATCTTAACTAAAAAGAATATTCGGTACTTTTGACGCTTTTTCCTAGCTTCTTTATTATTGACCAGAACACGTTAGGACCATATAAAATATTTTGAAGTTCCGTCTTAATTTTTTGTTGGTATGATCATATTAGAAGGTCAACATTGTGATTTGAACATCTGAAATGTTTTAATGCTCTGCACTTGACACTAATTCATAGTTATATTCCTAAAATTCCAGTTGATCTACCTGTCGTATTATTGCTGTGTATTTTATTAAATATTAATTTGTTTTCCTATGAAGCTGCATTATTTGCATCGTCATCAATATTTTCATATAATTCCTCATTCATTCAAAGGTTTTCACAAAGTTTGCTTCACTTTGCGACCCTAATTCAAGCTTAGGTAAAAATGGATAATTTCTTTTAACTTTGAAAGAATTTCAAAAATGATCTTACTTTGTTCACTATTATCATGTCAAAGTGTCATCCAACACTTTAAGATACACAATAACACTATCTATCATACTTTTCTTATTTTCATTTGGAAACGTAAGTTCATCTTCTGGAAATTTGTAATTAGAAATATATAATTAATTATTTCTACAAATCTCAATTAATGCACTACAAAACTACTTACCAAATTATTTTTAAAGTTCTTTCAACCATTTCATAAATCTGCTACATTTTCCTTATACCAGCTTATAATAAACATTTCTCCCACTTCTACTGTCAGTTCCTGCGATCAAATCTTCAATGATAATAGCGCCCCCGAAATTCCTTTTACTTTTCACATTCTTCAAAGTTCCAAGGACGCTAGTGAAAGGCGTATAGTGGAAGCTAGCAAAATTCAGGATCTTTCCCTAAAAACAAACACTCAACCTAGCTTGATAAAGTATAATAAAGAATAATCTGACACGTCTAAACGAAAACATTTTCTGTTTTTATTTTGTACGACGTTTTGGGCAGACGCCCTTTGTTGCTTACCTTTCAACGATTCTGTTTGAGTCTAATTCTATTTTACTTTACTGCCTTACAAAGGGCGTCGGCCCGAAACATCGTACAGAATAAAAATAGAAATGTTTTCGTTTATAGTCGTCAATTTATTCTTTATAATCTTCTATCCAAGTTTTTCTTTTCACGTCTTGCGGAAAAACATTCACTCGACCTAGCTAATTTATGACGTACATGAATCGTTACTCTACACATTTAAATTGTTAGATTGATTATTTATTCTGCACAACTCCTAATTTAACTATATAGCGATTAACAATATCCTAATTTAACTATATGGCGTGTAGCAATAATTTATGCTTATTTTAACAATATACATCTATTTTAACACGAGCCACACTCATACACCCGTGCATATATTGATGTATTTCTTTTATTCACACTTTCTGATTAATCGAAAATTAAGTATTAGCAACATTTAAATCACCAACAAGGAAACGGTTATATCCTATCGACTTACAGTATCTCTATTTATAAAAATTATTGTTAGGTTTGTTATCTCAGTTAATAACTACTGACCGTCCTCCTTTTATACATATATTTTTTATCTCTAGTTATAGAATATGATGTAGACATAATATTATTAATAATAATGCTGTGTGCCCGGCATGGCCAGGTGGATAAGGCGCTCGACTCACAATCTGAGGGTCGCGGGTCCGAATCCGCAT